GGGTGAACAACTCAAATTGATCGTTAAGAGGACGTCCTCTCCGAGAAGACTGGGTTCTGTATTAGTCTAGTTGTCAGAGTATAGATATCCTGTATCTTAGCATCCAGATAGCATTAAGTTCTCACACAATCATGTTACCAGTAAGCACAATAACAAAATAGGTTTCTCATTTATACTAACATTTGGAAAGTTTAAAAATTAAATGAGACCATTCAGTCATACAGCATTGAGTGCTCACTATGTTCTAGGCAACAAACTGAAATTTGTTTACACGATGAAGATAAATGCTAGGAATAAAAAGTATTGGGAGTAGAATTTAAAATAAAGTGGTCAGCTGGGTGCTGGTGGCTCATGCCTGTAATCCTAGCTACTCAGGAGGCTGAGATCTGAAGATCGTGGTTCAAAGCCAGTCTGGGCAGGAAAGTCTGTGAGACTCTTATCTCCAACTAACCACCAGAAAAACTGCAAGTGGCACTGTGGTCAAGTGGTAGAGCACTGGCCTTGAGCTGAAGAGCTGAGGGACAGCGCCCAGGCCAGAGTTCAAGCCCCACGACCAACAAAAAACAAAGAAAAGAAAAAACAATTGCACGGGTCTGGAAAGTGACTAAAGGCAAATGATATGAAAACCACCCAAATTCAGGTAATAACTGTGAGTCTTCATTATTTTTGCCATGACTTAGCTCCCAAGACCTGAACAGGAGTGCTGCCAAACGAGGCTGCCCAGGTTTCAAACATATGGAGGAAAATCTGGGGAAAATGAGTCACATGGTAAAAAGTCTTAGTAAATAGAGAGATAAGGGATACAGAAAAAGATAAGAAAAAGCAAGCCTGGGAGATGAACGGAGTAACACCAGCCACCTCAACACAAATGCCATCCAAGTTTTAGAAGGGAAGTTATTCAAAGAACAGAGAAAGTATTCCAGGAGATAATGATGTTAAACTCCACAACCACAACTAATCTACAAATTCTAAACAGGATGCCACAAGCAATCAATACCACACACATAAGAGTCCAAGTGTTGAAGCCAGAGTGAGCCCATATGGGAACAAATAATAAACAAAATAAACACTGACAGCAACAAGGGAGAAATAATTTGTCATATACAGAAAAAGTGATAGAATTAACTGCTAACTTGTACTCAGAAACAAAGTTTGGGAGGCAACCGAGTAATGCACTCAAAGCAACCAAAGAAAAACAAAATATTAAACAGGAATTTATTCCCAGCAAAAAATATCCTTCAAGGGCTGGGAAGGTGGCTCAGTGGTAAAGCGCTTGCCTTGCATGCATGAGGCCCTGGGTTCGATTCCTCAGCACCACATAAGCAAAAAGCGGGAAGTGGCGCTGTGGCTCAAGTGGTAGAGTGCTAGCCTTGAGCTGAAGAGCTGAGGGACAGCGCCCAGGCCCAGAGTTCAGGCACCACGACTGGACCCAAAAAAAAAAAGAATGGGACCTGTTGAAAAACAACTTCAGAATCAACATTTGGGAAACAAGTACTTAAAAATGTGACCAGAGCGCTCAAATT